GGTTTTCTTGATTTACAGGCAAAATTTGGAGGTGGGTTTGATTTTTTTAGGGAAAATAAATGAGGTGGGCGTTTGGTTATTTTGTTTTTTTTCTCCTCATTTAGCGATTTTGTTGTAAACAATCAGATTTTTATGTATTTTGTTTTCCAGCTCTTGGCCCTTTTGTGCATTTGACAGAGACCCCATTTGGATAATACAGAAATCTGTCCTTATCAATGATTTTAATTTCTTGCTCTTTGTTTTTATCAAGTGGAATTTGCCAAAAAATAGGTTTTGCGATGTTGAAGTTGGTCTTCGTCCCATCCGAGGATCATGCCAATTTCACTACCAATCAGACCTCAGTGAGATTCTGACTGTTGCAACAGATTGTTTTATGGACGTATGCACAGGTATTTTTCTCCTCTTTTTCTTGATTTTGGTTACTTTTTGTTTTTCAAGAAAATTCCTTTCTCAAATTAGTTGCTCTCTTAGGTAGAAAAAAAAAATCATGGAAATTGTGTGTTGGTATAGGCTCATCAGTTTATTACATGATCAAACTGCCATCTATTGTGTGTGTGTGTTTTGAGAGCCAAATCAAGATTCACTTTTGCTTGTTTATTTATTATTATTTAAAAAAAAAAAAATTGAGTGTTCTGCAGTTTTGTGGGTGAATGGTGGCAATGGGATTCTTGAGTATTATGAGTAATTCTTTCGGGTGCTCTGCATCGGGCGAGCGCCTGGTCTCAGCAGCTAGAGATGGAGATCTTCAAGAAGCAAAGGCTCTCCTCGAGTACAATCCTCGACTCGCAAGGTACTCCACTTTTGGAGTTCGAAACTCGCCTTTGCACTACTCGGCAGCTCAAGGCCATCACGAGGTTTAATTTGCCGAACTTTCTCTTTAAGTTAGTGGATAAATTCAATGCAAGATTAAGTTTTGTTTAGTTATTTTGGAAATTTGGATTTCATTTCTTGATTTCGTTTTTTTTTTTTCTTAGATTGTTTCCCTTCTACTCGAGTCTGGAGTTGATATTAATCTCAGGAACTATCGTGGGCAGGTAATAAAGTAACTATTTCGAATTCTTTCTCAATGGGGAATATTTGTTTTTACGGTAGATACTCGATTGTGTTAAAGGGAGTAATTTACTAATTTCCGTGTTGTTCTTCGCAGACTGCTCTGATGCAAGCGTGTCAATATGGTCATTGGGAAGTTGTTCAGACTCTAATACTTTTCAAAGCCAATGTAAATAAAAATTTGCGACGTATAATGGTTTCCAATAGGCTTCTCTTTCATATTAAGCTCATAAATTTATAATAATGTTTTTTTTTTCTTTTTTTTTTTCATTTTTCTAAGATTCACAGGGCGGATTATTTAAATGGAGGGACAGCGCTCCATTTAGCTGCTCTGAATGGCCACACACGTTGCATTCGCCTTCTGCTCGCTGATTACATTCCCAGCATTCCTAATTTTTACAGTGTTTTAAAGAAAAAATCGAAAAACGAAGAACAAGTTGTCGAGTTTGATGAAGGGTAGTTAATTTGAAGTGTTTTCTCTTAAATTATGTAAAAATAGATTCTTTTATCTGCGGTGTTTCTTAAAGTTTTCATTTTTTTCCTCACTTCTGTTTTCAGTGCACTGTTTGAAGTATTAAGTAGATCTGCAGATGGAGGCGTGACGGCCCTTCATATGGCTGCTCTAAACGGTCATTTCGAGACTGTTCATCTTCTTCTTGATTTGGGAGCTTCGGTTTGTGATAAGACTGTAGAAGATGGGACTACGATTGATTTAATTGGTATGCTCGAATTTTTCGGTATTTTTGCAGTTAGATGTGGTGTTTATAGTAACCTCTCAGTTCACCAATGTGCTTATCCAACTCTGCTTCTAAAATTGATTTTCTAACGAACTAGTAAAAATGCACTTATCGATGATTAATCTTCAATTATTTAAAAAAAAAAAAAAGTTGTTCATCAAGTTTGTGGATTATAAAATCCTGAACTGAGACTGTTTACTGGGTAAGCTATTTTTCCAGCAATACAAAGATTTTGTTTTGATTTAAGATAAATGATGAATGAGCTGCAAAAAGTTTAAACTGAATGTTTGATATTGTAAAAGGCTTTTGGAGTATCAATATCTTGCACATATGTGACTAAGAGCAATTCAGATATATGTAAATTTCAAAAGGCAGATAATGCTGTCATCTTAAATCAATTAATCCCAGGAATAGTGCACTTTTTTAATTTTTATTTTTTAACTTTTTTGTTTATTCATATTCACTTACAGGAGCTGGGAGCACGGCACTCCATTACGCTGCATGTGGTGGTAATGCACAGTGTTGTCAGGTAAGGGTTGTTTAAGAAATAATAAAATGTCCGAGAATGTAAATACGATGTCGAACTTAATTTTGATTTTACTTCTTTTCTTTTTTTTTTCAGCTTTTGATCACAAAAGGTGCCAGTCTTACCACAGAGAATGCGAATGGGTATGCATATGGTTGTTTTTTTCATATTTTGTTTGTTTGATATATCTGATAATTCATGTTTATTTTGATACTTATATGCAGCNAATCTAGGCATAGCTGTTTTAATTTACCTATTTTATAGCTTGCTTGGAGATATATGATGCCTATTGAAGGTCTTTTTCTTTTGTTCCATATACTAAACACAGAAATATGTAGATATATAATATTAATACAACACTCTTTTCTTATAAAATGATTCTCCTTAATTTCTTTCTTTTCTTTCTTCATTTCATATTTGCATATCAAAAGATGGACACCACTGATGGTCGCTCGTTCGTGGCATAGAGATTGGCTGGAGGAAATCCTAAGCCAACAACCGAGACGCCTCCCGAAACTCAGCCCTTCGCCTTATCTATGCCTTCCTCTCATGAGCATTGTCGAAATTGCTCGGTGAGCGTATCTATTAAAAAAAAAACAAATTAATTCCATTTTTTTTTTGGCCGACTTCGAATTCAAAAACAGAACCAAAAACCCTTTCTCACCTCACTAACATCAATTTTTTTCGTCTTGTGACACTTTTCAGACAGTGTGGATGGAGATGCAGAGATTCACAATCGACCTGTTTAGATCCATGCGCCGTTTGCTTAGAAAGAAAGTGTACGGTTGCTGCACAAGGTACTACTCCTCTTCTTACTCAGAACTTGCTTGACAGATGTTTTAATAAATAGGCAAAAATGCATTTTTTTGTCCTGTTGGTTTAACGCCATAGCAAAGCAATTTTAGTCCCAAGGTTCCAACTTTTTGCTTTTGGTCATGTGATTTACTATTTTGCTGCAATTCCTTTGAGGACTGAAATCACAACAAAATTTTAAGTTACAGGACTGAAAATGCAATAATATTTTAAAATTACAGGACTTAAATTGCTAACCAGAAATCCAACCCAAAGATATAAATTGGGAATTTGTTGCAATTTCAATCTTCAACAAAATATTAAATTACAGGACCAAAAGGCGAAACGCTAGAATCTTGGGACTGAAATTCCTATGACGTTAAACCAACATGACTACTAAAAATGCAAATTAATTAGCCAAATAAATAATACAAACTATATAGTATTCTTTATTTCTTCAATCTTTTGTTCCGAAAAAAAAAAAATGCAGGTTGTTTTCACGAGTTCTGTACACACTGCGCCATATATCTTTGCTCCACGTACGCCACATCATCCGTGGGCCAAGGCCCGCCAGGCTCGATCCCTTGTCCACTGTGCCGACATGCCATAGTCTCGTTCGTGAAGCTAGCGGAAACTCGGCCCATAATCAAGGAAGTGGCCCGAACGAGCCTTTCTCTGCCCTTCTGCGTGTGTTCGGCAGATGCGACCTCGTTAGAAGGCCCGTTTGATTTCCATTGGGCCCGAGTTTCGCCACAGGGCCCGAATTTCAGGTCCTTGAGCTGCAAGAGGTTTTCTTCGGTCAGGCTTAGCCCGCGACTCTGCATGGGGGGTTCGAATACGAGTAACTGTTTGGTCAGCCGGGCAGCCGGGCAGGTGGGCCCGTTGGAGGATAGATGTTTGAGGGTTCCGGGCTTCGGGCGGTCGGGTTCATTGAATGAGGGCAGAAGATGGTTGTGTTCTTTCAGTCAGGCCATGGGAGCAGATGGAAATGGATGCTGAGGGGTTTTTGGATTAGTGTTTGATTGATTTTTGTTTGAAGGAATTGTTGGAAAATTCNNNNTTAGGAAAAGTCCAAAAGATAAAACTAGGCATAAGGTTTAGTGCAAACACCAAAAGAAGAAGAAAAGCAATTATAATCTACAATTCTAAGTGATATTTTACAGTATAAATATCGATTATTGACTCAATAAATGAGTGTGATTTATATATATGTCTAGGGAATTATTGGGCACTCAAAATTTGTGTTTGTCATGGACAAGTAATGTGTTTATATATATGTGTAAAATTGTGTAGGGAATTATTGATTCGTGTTTGTCATGGACAAAAGAGCATAACTGTATAATTTGTTTATTAGCAGATTTGAGCTGAATTAGTGGATACTGTGTAAAAAAAAAAAAGAAGAAGAAAGAAAGTTGAGAAGAGATTATTGAAAAACAAATAAAATCAGCACTTATCACATCCTCCTTCATATACCGTTAATAATTGGGCCTGTTGTACCCCAAAAAAAAAATAATTGGGCCTGCACTGGATATGAATCTAGTTATGAATAAAGCCAGCCGAACCCATGCATAGTCCATTTAGAAATGGGCCAAGCCCAAAAAGGATATTATCGTCGGAAATTATTGGTTCAGATTATTTTTATTAGAAGCAGAGGAGATCGCTTTATACATGATGAAAATAAATAATGGGTTGTAGTTAAAACTATCTAGACGAGTGCATATTTAATACTTTATATAACGAAACATGCTGTAATAATTGAGTTTTGTAAGGTAACATCATTATTTTTGAGTCACTAAGCTTACTAGGCATAATCGATTACATATTTTCAAGTCAACAAATATATAACATTTCATTAATATAATTTTTTTATAAAGATATAACAGGTCAACCTACATAACATTTAGCTCGTCTCAAACAATAATTTGTATTTTTGGTCGAAAAGATTAAACGAATTAATTTTAATAAATCAATTAAACCAAAATCCAACAAAAAGTTAAAATACATATATGTATGTATGTACCTACCTTAAATTGTGATTCACTAATGATATTCTAACTCAATTCTAAAAAACAATATTGCACATGAAATCTCCACATAACCATGTACAGAGTACACATGGAATTAATTCAGTATATAGAAAGAAACTCATACATCTCCCTCTAAGAAAAACGTAAATATAAATTTAAAGAAATAATGATATGTAAATTAACTGAAAAACATTTTTTCCCCTTTAAAACACATGTAAATAACCCGTTGCAGCATGTTTTTGAGGATATTACCGAGCTTTTGTTATCCTTGAATTGTGGTATTTGTAATCACGTTGATAGAGCAAATAATGCGTGGTTGCTCATAACATAGCTAAATAACCCGTCTTTTTTCTCTTTCTTCTTTTGTGGTGTATCAGGTTCATGACTTTAATCAAATAAATTTAGAATTTTTATTTGCAAAAAAAAAATAAAAAAACACATGTAAATATATATTAATTAAGCCTCCAATTTGTGAGCAGCACTAGCAAGACATCGCATGACGTCCACCTGAACCCTAAGGGAGGAGATATAATCTAGGGTTTCTCGGACCAAACACCGCTCGTCCATTCTCTCTCCTCCCGGTACAAGCCTCTTAAGCACGCGCGTCTTTCTCCTCACGAGCCTCCTCGCGACAACACCCGAGCTCGATTTCACGCTCCGAGGTACAACCCTAGTGATGCGGCTTTTTCGTAATATCCTCTTGCTGCATGCAATTGCCAAATTATTATTATTATTATTATTATTATTATTATTGTTGTTGTTATTGTTATCTGGTGGGCCACACTTATGGTCCAGTATTTGTTGGACCAGGATTCTGCTGGGCCCGTCTAACGATGAGACGAGGTCGTCCATTAAGGCCCGACTCCAGTGTGTCGTGGCCTTCCGCGTCGAGGCTATGGCTGCATCGGCCGATAGTTTGATGGCCCTCTTTCGCTCAAGAATTCCCATATTGCCCTTGTGGGAATTAGTGTACACGTGGAGGCCCTTTATCCATTTCTTGAGGAATTCCTTTTTGAGCGTTGCTGAATTACTCATTATGCTGGATAATTAAGGATACATAAAAAAGTTAGTTAAGTAGGCCTAATAATATACTACAATTAATGAGAAAAATTTGACTAATCATCCATATATACTATTGGCCTTTTAAATTCTAAAAAAGACTCTTAATTCTTTAATAATATTGATAGGTGTTGGTAGTTTGAGTTAAATATCAAATATGCATGAAGGAAGAACAAGAAATCAAAATTAATGAAAATCTAGCTAGTTAATGATATGGCTAATAGGTGGATTAATGAGCAACTCTAATGAATATAGATTCGTTATTGCTAGCTAATAGGCTATCACTTTCCACTCGTTGATTACTTGATCATGCAGAGGCTCTACGCTGAAAACCTTAATTCTCACTGTTTTGCAGCTTTGCAGTTAATTATCGACAAATATCCGAGTCATCAACGGTTTATTTGGTACAACAATATCATCTAATATAAGTGATTATTTATATATAATATCAAAAGTTAGCAACAAATACAAATCATAATAACAATGCATTTTTCATACCTTGGTTTCATCGAATTGGATATAGCGGAATTTCANAAGACACAAAATTTTGCAGAAGGAAATGAAGATCTTCTTCGGGATCCAAAGAAGTTTAGCAGAAAACAAGGTTTTTTTATTAATTATTATTATATTTTTCGAACCCACAAATAAAAGAAGAAGAAAATAAATAAGAGAGAAGAATATTGTTTAGAAATGAGAAGAATGCGAGACGTAAAAGCCATTTTATATGTTTGGTGGTGGGGCAATTGGAGAAAGACACAGCACATGCGAGCACATGCGAGCTTTCATGGCCCGCATGTTCCAAAAAAATCCTAATTTAACTCAATATTGTTGACATTTTCTTTGGATTTTAATATACTTAGGGGTGTATTTAATTAAAATTTTTAAGGATTTTGTAAGACTTTAGAAATCCTGGTGTATTCAATTGGGATTTTCAAAAGTCTTACAAAATCTTGAGGTATTTAATTTTTTTGACACTAGGATTTATTAAGACTTTTTAAGATTTAGTAGGATTTCTAAACAAAAAACCTTATATGAAATCCCACTTCAAATCTTACCTCCGGACTTGAGATTTCATAAAATTCTTTCAAAATCTGAAAATCCTAGAAAGTCTCAAATCTCGAAAAGTCTTTAAATGTCACTTAAATTCCGAATTGAATACACCAATATACACTTATCTATCTATTTAATATAGATAGATACTTTTAATTAAATAGTTGTTATTATAGCTAGGAAACTCACGAGTATCTTCGCTCGTGATAAAATCTTGATCTAACACCTGTAAAGGTCACTTTTGTGTGACTACATAACAACTACATATAAATCAAGCCAAATGTGAAAATCGGGCTTTAGAGACCAAATGTTGAAGATTTTTCGGGTGATATAAATTTTTGCATTAGATGGTCTAATTTAGACAGGTCGATCTATCATTTTTTTGTAAGGTTATTATCGAACCGATCCGAATCGAGCTTAAGGTTTTTGAGCTCGGGTTCGACTAATTTTCGAACATATTCGTGTTCATTCGTTTAATATTCGGACAAAAAATTTCATTCGTGTTCGCTCGTTTATATAGTTGAACTTGTTCGTGAATTGTTCGACAAGTTCGTGTTTGTGACTTTTATTTTATTTTAATACTAAGTTATTTTATTTAATATTTAACATAGATTATATATATATATATATATATATATATTATACTATATCTGTATATACAATATATAATATATAAATATATAAAATACATTTCTGTTCGCGAACGCTCGTTTAGTTCGCGAACTTATTCTTGTTCGTTAGATAATTAAACGAGCATTCATGTTCTGGTTTTGACAGATTACTAAACGAAAGAGTGTTATAAAACACGAACAAGCATTGTTCGCGAACAGTTCGATGCGATAACAACCTTATTTTTGTGAACAAAAATTTTGCTACAAAATATCGTACTTTTGTTTAATTATGTCATTGTTTATAAACAATGACAATTAAGTATCATTTCCATTTGAAAGTAAACTTATTTATTGATAAACGTAAGATTGTCCAACCATTATACCTGCCTAACGGCACAATCTTATTGCAATTCTTTCACAAATTCTTATGTGAGAAAGCTTAATCTGTACGTAGATCGAACCATCATTAATTTTCAAACGAAAATGCATACACATACTATAAAATGTTATACATTTATTTATATTGTGTTTTAGAATATGTCATTTTAATTTGAAAGTATTCGGCAAGGCTACTATTAGGTTGACCAAATTGTATAACCATATCTTTTTAATAGATATGCATACTTTTATGCACAAATAGAACACTTTAAAAGGCATGAAATGTAAATAAAAGTATGAATTTCTCAGTATAAGTATGTATTTTTATTCAAAAAGTATTACGGGTCGACCTGCTTAACTATTAAACTTTCTTACAAAAGAATTTATGATATAATTTGGAATTTCAATATTTTTTCAATCGAGATGATTGTTAATTGACAGACTAAAAAATACGATGAATTCGGGATCTATTATTGATCACCGAAAGGTATAGAGACTATATACAATGTCATCATATCCTAGACAGCTGCTAATACCAAGATACAAAGAATATTGCTTAAACGTCCTTTTGTTTGTCAAAATATACATAATACACTTACAATTTAGTCTATACATTACAAATTTCCTTTGAGATTTTGTGTAATAAAAACTAATAAGTTCTCAAGAGAACCTTAAGTTATAAAATTAAGTTATTCGGACACATTAATTACAAATTTCCAAATGAATGCTGCAATGGGTTTTGGATATCTAATTAATTGGGTGCCATGAATCTGTATTTGAGATTTGGACGTTACTGTTAAAAAAAGCGCTTATATAATTAATAAATAAATTTTTCATTATAATATACCATTAGGGAGTCTATAAGAGACGCAATATTAGTATATTACTCTAACTAACAATAAATAATTAAATAAAAATGAAACGTAACAAAGAGGTGTAAAAAATCTCACAGAAGTCTTTTATTTGATGTGGACATCACATCATATATCTTAATTTGCCTCCAAATGTCAGTTTTTATCTTTTCATCTAATCTTGAACTTTCAAAATTTTTGGGATTATTTTCCCATTATATTGTAATGTTTTATAAATTATTCTATTCTGAAATTGTATATCATCTCTTCACACAACATCAAGGTCATCTATTTCTGATGTATATTAAATCTAAACTCTTGAACCAAAGTCTATATCCGACAGTCTTTTAATTCGGTTTTGTCCTATGATTATACAGCAAATTAATTGTCTTCACAATAAAATATCATTGATACACATATACAATTTGACAAGAAGTAGTCAAATTGTATAAGTGTATTTTTGTCATCTTACTATTGGAGATTCACAATTTTACATTGATCATGAGTACATTTAGATGCAAATTATAAGGCATAACTAAAATTTATAGTGACTCAAAATTTTAGAATAATTTTAATTTAATGGCTATTAATCCCACGAGTTAANATAGATTAAACTAACTCAAAGGATACATAGTTCGGTTAACCAACGGGTTAAACAATAACACACAAAAGGAAGAAGCATCTGAGCTAGATGTTCCCCTCATCGACCAACTCGGCCTTAGACCATACAACCAAATTCACAAACTGATCAACAACAAAAGAAACAGACCTAAGACAGCTAATTAAGAAATAAATATCATCCACAATAGCATTATAGATAGATGGAAAAGAATCCTTTGTAGATAGAGCCTTCACTATAGCTTTATCCTCCATTTTGCAAGTCAGGTCAGACCATCCCCTACGGTAAGCAAGATCAAGGCCTTGTCTGAGCGCATAAAGGACAGCCATAGTGTGGTCATGAAAACTGCTATGGTGAGACCACCAGCAATGCAACACAGTCTCATCTCGACATATAATGAAACCCATCTTCTGCCTGTTCAATGAGGGGTAATTAGCACTGACAACAAGAGAGTGTTGACCTACTCCTTTACCTTCATTGTCAGCAAAAGATTATCTGTTCTTCCATGAATGTCCTGTGAGGGATGTATAGCATTTCCTAAATCTGAAAATTCAAACCAAGATATCATTGCAAGATTTACAAGTTGCCTCTCAGAAATGACAGATTTTTGAAAGACCCATGTGTTTCTTGTTTTCCAAAGCCACCACAATAAGTAGGTGGATAAGGAAATTCTATCTTCCCAATTTGAGGTCCTCTTCATTAAGCATAAGGTTTCCCACCAGACTTGGAAAGTGACCCCATTATCAGCCAAGCAGTCCCACTGTAAACCAGCAAGCTTCCATACAATTGCAGCTCTGGAACAAAAGAACAGGATGTGCTCTAATGTTTCATCATGCTCACCACACAATTCACAGATGGAATTCTCACACAAGCCCTTGGATTTTAATTGAACTTTCTATCTTCCCAGTTAAATCTGGGTTGATAAACACTTTATTCAGCTTTGCGCTTCAAATTAACAAACCCCAACAGAGATGGACATTGCCAGTAATTGGTTCGAGGCTGTTATTTGAACAAAATTGAAGAGAAATTTAGTGTAATATCTTTTATTTTCAATTATTTAGTTAGAGTGGAACTTTTTTTTTTTTTAACAGTAAGACAAGATTTTAGCGTGTGTCAGAAAATGCAACATCCATTTAATTAGTTGTTTAACTAAATTTCTGTCAACGTTAAAAGGACTACAAATGCTGGTTTGAATAAAGAATAATATCATTAGATACAAAAATGTCGCATCAGAAAAGTACATAAGAATTAATTAAATTACCGTCCTTAAAGTTACCAATGAAATTGATTATTGTAAGTAATGGATGAAATTAATAGTACTCCCTCCTATTTTTATTATATGTCATTCTGACTTAATTGATCATTTGCTAAATAAATGTCGTTTTGGCTATTTTGTACATATTTTTCATTATTATCCTCATCTAACTAATAAATACATTACGTCTTTTCATATTCACTCTCTATATTTTCTCAAAACATCAATCTCTATCCTCATTAATGAGGATTATTATTGACAAAAAAATTATTCTTAATTACTGTGCAACTTCTCAAAACGACATTTATTAAAAATAGGAGGGAGTATTAATTTTCAAACGTGTTTGTGCAATTAGGAACTATAGTCAGACATAAAACTCCGTACTTATTTGTGGACGTTTACACTTTACCGCACGCATTTAAGAGACGCGAAATATGTGCACATATTAACTTGCCTAACAAAGGTAAACAATGTTCAATATACCTAAATTTACTCGAGCTTTTATTGAGCTAAGTGTGACTTATTAACTAAACGAACCGAATATAGAGTTTAAACTCGGTCCGTGTACTAAAATTATCTAACTAAATTTGAGCATTAACAGGTCATTAACTAATAACTAAACGAGTTTCAAATTGAGCTTGGACTTGGTTCATTCATCACAATTAACGAGTCAAACGTGTCCTAGTGAACCAAGTCAAGTACATGACCAACTTGTTTTGTGTAAAATATATGTGTGTGGTTTAATTTCAAATGCTTATATGACCAATATATTATTGTATCAAAAGAATATTACCAATTGTTTCTGATTATACTAATTAGTACCCAACTTATCACAAGTCCATTCGTCCAACTATTTTTTCAGGACCAGCTTCTGACTTATTCATCAATCACACATGCAGAATTTGAATTTTCATGTG